AGGCAGGTGCTGTGCCACTAAGCTACATCCCCAGCCCTAGTCAGAAAACCTTAAATGTCCACTAGTAGGGGACTGATGCAGTTAAGTGTGGTACGACCATACAATCCAATACTATGCAGATGTAAACTATGGTTTCCTATTATTTGTGTAAAAGTGAGAAAATATATTATTTGCTTGAATGTGTATACAATGATTTGGAAAAATGCAAAGTGGCAACATGACATTCTTGAGGGGAGGAAGTGGTTGGTTGTGAGATAGTAGGAAGGTTTTTCCTCTGTATCATCCCTTTTGAATTTGCATCATGTTAATTAAAAATATGTGCAATTTAGAAGTAAAAGTAATTTATTTTCTAGCAGCAAAATAGCACTTTGGTGATACTCCCTAATTTCTGGCTGCTAAATTAAGGATAGTTTCCAAGTACGAAAGGAAACTTAATAAAAGAGCCTTTGTTTGGAATATGCACAGAAAATAAAAGATGGAGAAGCTGTTAGCAAGGAAGTCAACATACTGAGGGGGAACTATTTCAGAATTCTCCTGTTTTCTTCAAGGGTACGGTCTTAGCCTATACAGTATTAGGTGTTTAACAGCAACAATAGCCTTCCCATACTAGAATATTTCCACCCATGGATGTCTGACCCAGACTTACTCTGTTTCTTAGGTACATTCAGCGCTGGGTCTGGATAAGGTGAGCCAGTCAATCAGGTTCCATACATTATCTTGGTTTTATGGTTTGGACACATGGAGTGACTGTGTGACTGTAACTACTGAAGATTCTCAGTAAGTGAATACGGGGGATTTGCCTTGAAACCCCTAAGTCAGTGATGGTGAACCTATGACCTCCATGCCTGTTATCAAAAGCTCTAAAAGGTTTGCCATCACTCCCCTAGATCAAATATGGGTGTAATCTGTAACTAGTCAGGCCAAATACATTGTATTTTTTGTACTGCCAGTGTGGCAGACATGAGAATACACCTCTTAGGGAGTTAGTGTAATCTAAGTGGGCCCCTACTGATGATTAGAGATGTATTCCCTGAATTTGTATCTAGGGTGAGGTCACACCTCCCAAGGGCTGGTTCCTGCCCCTGACTGAGGTCAGCTCAGATAAACAAGCAGACGCTCTCCAGGGAGAAAGGACAAAGGGACTTGTGAGTGTATAAAAAACTACCCACAAAGGGCTTTGCTGAACCTTCCTTAGATTGGAAGGCAGCTTAGGACAGTTCTCGCTATCCTGGCTTCCTCTTTCCTTTACCCGGTCAGACTTGAATCAGGGTCTAATGGCTTGCCCTGCCTTCTCTGGCTTCCTTCCTGTTTTCCTTTATATATAACCATTTCCCCTAATAAAACCTTTGCACATTTCATTTCATCTGGGCAGATGCTTTCTTGAGGATGACTAACATACAGGACATTTAGGAATTTCTTTGGGTTCTACTCATTTGTAGTAATCTTAAGAGTATATAAAAATTGAAAATAGATGGCTGATAGAGATGTTAGTCTTTAATTTTTGATTTACTGGTAGGAGAGGGTTAGAATCAGATTCTTGGCATCCTTGGCTTTTAACCACAGTTCAGTACTGTTTTTGTTGTCATTCATTCTATGGTGACTAGCACGTTACAGGTCTTAAACCAGAAATAAGCAGCTAAGGAAAGAAGGTAATCATTATGTGATGAAACTTAGCATGGTCCTCACACTTGCGGAGGATGTGTTATGTGCTAGGCACTAAAGAACAAGTAAATGATAAAAACATTGAAGTGTGTAGTGCAAAGTGCAATTGCTGTGGATCTCTTTATTTCCTCATCTAGGAAATGGAGTTGATCAGATGATCCTTAGGTTTCCTTCTGGCTCTGTACTCGTTTCAAACTCAGATGCTTCCGGGGGCCAGTGAATCCAGTGAGTCGCTCCTGGTGGGGAAACGAGGAACTGGAGAGCAGAAGCCCCTAGAAAGGACGTACATGCTTTTGAGCTGTGGTCATTGTTCCCACTATGCAAGGCCAAATAGAACAAGTTTGTGGACACTTGTGACCTCCAGGTCATCAGTCTGTGACTTCTAACAGTTCCTGAAGTACACTTTTTTCATTCTGGTTTTTATTTATTCATGCATGTTAGTAACAGAATGGTGAAATCTGTTTTGGCAAATTGATAATGGAATTTAATGAATCTGGACCGTTTTTAGCCCATTAGTCCCTTCTCTTTCTTCCCTCTTCCCACTGATCCCTTGCCCCACTTCCAATCTACCTCCTACTTTCCTGTCATCTCTCCTTTACTTGTTTAGATTTCTCATAAGCAAAAATATGCATTGTTGATCTGACTTTTAACATGATGGTCTCTAGTTTCATCCATTTTTCTGCAAATTGTATGATTTCACTCTTTATGGTACAACAGTACATTATGTATATACACATTTTATCTATTCACTTGTTGCTGAACATTTAGGCTGTTTCTGCAGCTTAAGCTGTGAATTATGCCACTGTAAAAACAGGTATGCATATATATGCTGGTCCCAAATTCACAATCCTCCTGCTTCGGCCTCCTGAGGTGCTGGCTTACAAGTATGTGTCACCATGTCTGCTTCCTTAAATATACTTGTAAACTTAAAATAGTTTGGAAGCTGGATGTGATGGCACACCCTGTAATCCTGGCATTCCTAAGGCTACAACAGGATTTCGAATCCAAGGCCAGGCTGGGCTACAGTGAGGTCTACACTATGTATGTAGGAAGACCTGTCTCAGGGGTTGGCAGGGGGAGCCAATAAAGAATCACCATTTAAGGAACACCTAGCTCTCATCACCTGCTTAACAGAATATTACCTCTTCAGAAGTATTCAGAATTAACATTTTATTTATATGCTTTTTTTTTGAGATAAAGTCTTGCTATGTAGTTCAGGTTGGCCTCGAACTCACTATGTAGCCTAGGCTGGCCCTGGAACTCTCCTGCCTCAGCCTCTCAAATACTGAGATTACAAGTGTGCCACCTCACCCAACTAATATTGCCCTTTTTTTCCAATTCAAACTCCAAGGCCCAGAGGGACTGCCCTTGAGAAACTTCAGCATGAGTCTCATAAAGACAGCCCTGAACTGAAGCTTCTGTGGCTTTTTATTGACAGAACCAGGAAGCAAGGATAGAGGACAAAGGATGTCAGTGCAGGATTTCATGTAGGGGAAGGAGAAGAACAGGGTAATGTCAGGGTGGTCTGTCACATGAATGGCCTTAGGGCCAATCTAAGTAATGAACTGGAGTATGGGGAGGACAAGGCCAGAGCATTCATTCCTCAAGGCAATGTATTTTAATCCAAATGTGGACTTGTGGCCCTGTAGGGTATCTTTTCATCTCTAACCATGCATTCCAGGAGGTTTTGGGTGTGCAGCTCCAAAGTCCCTTACCTCTACACATCCATCTCATTCATACCTCAGGCCATCGTCCCCACAGGGGTCTGGAACTGGTTGTTATAAAAGTTAATCATTGTATATCCCTGTGAATTTTGAAAATTATTTGAGTTACCTTATCATGGTGTCTTCCATCTTTCATGGGATGAGACAGGCTAGGTAAATATAGGACTAACAAACACTGCCTTTTTAAAGTTTTTACCATGTATCTGTACCATTAAGCTGTCATTAGTTTTGCGTATTTCTGCACTTTAAGGACAATTATACCAGATGTATTCTCCTGTACATTGGCTTCCATTCTTTCCTATCTGCTCATCTTAATTGAGACATAACTACATTGTTGCTATCATTGTAACTTATTTCACTGATAGTGTTTCATTATATGGATAAATTTAAGACTTATTTTTCCATTCAACAACTTTGGACACTAGTTTGTAATATTTTGCAGCTACAAAAAGTGGCTCTAAACCTTTTGGTACATGCCAGGGTCCTGCCCTTTTAAAATCAGTTTTGAGGGCGGGATTTAGCTCAGTGGTTGTGCCGCCTGCCTTGCAAGCGCAGGGTCCCAAGTTTGATCCCTGGTTCCAAAAAAATAAAATAAAATAGGGCTGGGGATTTAGCTCAGTGATTCCAGCCCCTGCCTCGCAGGTGGAAGGTCCTGAGTTCGATGCCCAGTACCAAAGCAAAACTAAAAAAATCAGTTTTGAGACAGGGTCTCCCTAAATCACTAAGTTTCCCAGGCTGGGCCTGAGCTTTCAATCCTCCTGCCTTAGCCTCCCAAAGTGCTGGGATTACAGGTATGCGTTACCATGCCTGACTCCACAGCCAACATTCTCAAAGCAGTGTTTTTCAAGTATGAGTTGTTAACCATTAATGAGTTAAGAAAACAATTTAGTGGGTCAGGACTAGCACCTTTTTAAAAAAAGTAAGTAACTTAGGATAGATACCAGATGCATCTCACATTACAGTCCTGTTTCATGAATTTTGTGTGCGCGCGCGTGCGCTAGGGATCCAACCCTGGGCCTTGTTCACCCTAATAAACATTTGCTTTGCCACTGAGCAACACCCTAGCCCATCTCATGACACTTCGGTTGTAATGTGTATATATTCTGCACATGTCCACACAAAGGTATCCTTTCAGTGTACACCTCCACCAACAGAATCTAGTCTGTTCCATATCAGCCCAAGCACTCATATTAAGCTTTTAAATTCATGCCAATCTGGTTGGAGTGAAATGGTTTATCATTTTGGTTTTAATTTACATTTCCCCAATTACCATTTAAGGTTTGTTGGCCTATGGATTAGTCTGTAAAAGGATCGTTTTCCCAGTTGTGCAAACTTTATCCAACACTTTCAAGAACCTTCTAATTACTAAATACTATTATGTAGTAATTTCTCAAATAAGGTATCCATGCAACAAATAGAGAAAAATAAGTTGTACTGAGAAGCTGATGGTAGCAATTCAATTAGGTTCATTCACTGACCTGTACATGCCAGATTGTAAATGTCTATGATTCAATTCTGTGCCTCAGGAGAATCTGGAATTACTGTAGGTCTTAATCGTTTGGAGTTGTGTGCACTCAGCTGAGATTATTCGGGTTAAATCTTTGAATGCCAAAGTGTCTTCTATACTTTCTTTTATTATTATCAGTCTTTGCATCAAGATACATAGTAATGATAGCAGGTTTCTTTTTAAAGCTTAGTATTAAATATTAAATATCTTTTCCCATTTTAATTTTACATTACTCTGCCAAGGGAAAAAAAAAATTAAAACTCAAGTTATCTGAAGCCTGGACACACTTCCATGATTAGCCGGGCTATGTAAAAGTTGTTGGCTTTATTCTTCCTGCTGTGTAAAGCAGATCTAGGCCCTAGAAAGATGGGACCAGGTTATAATTGTTTTTGAAAAGTGAGCTACAAAAATGGATGGCCTGTTATAAGGCTGGTTACAAAGTAAGGACGGGGGCAAGGGAGGGACATTTTTCTTTCAGAAAAAAAAAAAATTTCTGAAGTGTCCCAGTCCCTAATTTTTCCCAAAATGGTTGGAGGAGGGGGTAAAATCTCAACATGAGCTTCGAAGTACTGTCTCTGGAGGGACCAGTAAGTAGCTGCTTTGCCGAGGAGGGTGACTATGGAGTAGAGGAGTGACTAGGTTGGCCCTCTGCACCCTCCCTAGGTGGGGAATGGAAATGGAAAGTCTGTTGCCCAGTGGCTGTCAGTGAGCTGACGCTTGATTGGTACTGAATTCTCTAAGAGGTTTCTTCTAGAAACAGACAACTCAGAGTCTTCCTCTCACTTCAGCAAAGAAGTTGTCTTTAAAAGCACTTGGGAAGTTGCTCCTCCACCATGCAAGTGGGAAGGCTCAGAGCAGGGAGTCATCAGTACAGCCACCCTCTAGGCCGTAACGGAATTCCTGCAGGTTGGAGACCCCGTAGAAGTGGACAAAGGCTGCTGCAACCACCAGGACATGGAAAATCTGATGAGACTGGAACTGCACGAATAAAAAGAACAGGGTAATGGCAAGGGGAATTAGAACTAAGTAGGAGAAAGCATTTTCTAGCTTTTCTTTTCATCATAAAAGTGACATAGAAAAATTTTAAAAACTCTTATTAGTACATGTTTGCAGTACATAATGATTACATTTACTCTAGGGAATTAGTACATGTACATAAGACATTCTGATTCTTTTTCTTCCCCCTTTCCTCCACATCCATCATAGAAAATTTTAAAAAGTTTCTATCAGAGATACATTTTAACATTGGCTATTTCCTGCCAATGTACATACCTGTACACGCAAACGATATCTGACCCAAGTCTCTTAACACCTTTTCCTAAGACCTTTAAGCTTGAGATGGGCACTCACCATCACAGGCCCTACTGGAAGAATCAGTTCTTACCCATATGTCAAATTTTCCGGGAAAGAAGCGCTCAGGAATACGAGCAGCATAAAGGCCAGCGCCAGCGATGTACATCACAGCCATGAGGAAGAACCAGCCCATCTGGCCCACTGTGGTGGCCTTGACAAAGCCCTCAGCGATTGTAAAGTGCATAGTGGGCACAACACCACTCAAGCCAAGTCCCAGGAACACTCCTGGATAGGGCAGACATGAGATGGTCAGGCAAGGAAGTAGCTGCTACACAGCAGGGTCTGCTGCCTTACTCTGGAATCCAAAGTTTATGGTAAGTACTGTAGCTATTTTTAGGTGAACAGCACACGTTTAGAAAGCTTAGCCTAAAATGGGTTAGCAGTCAGCAGGTAGTTCAGCACATGCCTATAGTCCCAGCTATTCAGGAGGATCACAAGATTGAAGGCAGCTTGGGAAACTCAGTGAGACTGTCTCACAAAACCAAAAAATACCAGCAAACTGTTGGGCCTGGGGTTATAGCTCATTTGTAGAGTACTTTCCTGGCATATGCAAGGCCCTGGATTTGAGCCCCAGGACTGTAGGAAAAAAAATGTCAGAACTCTGATAGATGACTTGGGTCAGATCCTAGATGGTAGGGCTTCAGCTGGTCCTGAGCCAGAGAAGGGTGGGCAGGTTTCCCATCACAAACATAAAAAAGCCAAGTAACTAGGCCTCTTGACCACATGATGGATTGATTTACCCAGATGAGCAGTTGTGCACAGCTTCTGGGACATACAAATAAGGCAAGAACAAAGGAAAAGTGGAAACTGTCTGAATACCACCACACTATGCAGAACTAGGGGGCAGGGACTACCTTCTCCATCTTTGCATATAGCCTTGTTTACGCAGTGCCTGCCAAATGGGGGGGTGCCTGATAAGTATTTCTTTTAGCTGAAGGTTAAAACATAGCAGATATTAAGTCTACAAGGAGTGATCATGGTGGGGCACAGCCTGTGATTATAGCACTCAGAAGGCTGAGGCAAGAGGATTGCTGCAGGTTTGCGATCAGCCTGGGCCGCAGAGTGAGTTCAAGGCCAGCCTGGACTACATAATGAGACCCTGACTCAAAAAACAAAAAGTCTAAAGGAGCTGAAAACTATGATAAATGGTGGTAATTACAGTGATTAATCAGAGCTTCAAATTAGAATCCAGCTGAGACAACACATAGATGCTTACGCTCTTAGCTATATTACACAGTTAACAGTGTTTAGGCTCAAGGTCTTTTTTTCTCTCACGAAAACCAGCTTCCCATTCTCTTAGTAAAGTACCTATGATGTTTTATTTTAGTATCTTGGTCTGAGTATTTAGGATTCAGGACCTACTCTTGCTTGCTGTATTTCTGAACACTCTTAAACCAAGCATAAGAGCACTCATATCTATGGTTGTAGCTAACTGACCATCTGGGTAATCATCTGTCCTATTATCAACCTACTGAAATATGAGATTAATGTGACCGAGCTTTGGAAACTCACGCTGTTGTGAAAATCCCAAACACACAGGTATCAGTGGGGTTCCCAAAGCGCACACCATGGGAACGACCTGGCAAGGCTCGAGGCCTAAATCCTGCTGAGGTTTGTGCTGTCCTCCTGCTTACCTGCCCTTGTCTGCCGGTGCTTAGGAGTGGCGAACCGGTCCCACTGTGCTACAATGATGGCAGAAATGCCCAGGACACAGACAATGGAGAGGTAGATGAGCCGAGGCTGTGGGGAGCAGTAGAAGGAATAATACAGCCAGGGGACAAAGCTCCCCATAATCAGCAGAGCGATCCCTGAATAGTCCAGTCTAAAAGACAGCCACAAAAACAAACAAATCAGTGGAAGGAATGAAGAAATCTCATGGCTCATTTAAGTGGTTCTTTCTGTTCTCCACCTACTCCCAGATTTGACCGTCCCAAGTCTCTCCTCGCTTCCTGTACAATCTATCCCATATCCCGATTAAAATTTCACAAGGTCAAACATTCTTATTTTACAGTGGGAAGTCCCCAAGAATCCCTGCTCGCAGAACTCTATCTCTTTTCTTTGGAACCCTTCTAGCAGACACTTGAATTTAGACGTCTGTCACAATCCAGCTGGTTCCCAGCATCATAGGAAGAGCTCTGAATAATTCTTTTTTTTTTGGTACTGGGTAATCCCTCATTTTGATAGAACCAGTTCTAAAACAAAATTCTTGTACTGAGAATATGCATATACAGTAAGTTCCTGACTTATGAACAAGTTCCATTCCAGGAGAACTTTTTTTTTGGTACCAGGAATCGAACTTGGGACCTTGTGCTTGCTGGGAGAACGTTTTTAAGTCAGACTCGTTCATAATTCGACACAGTGCATCTTCTATGATGCACTGTGAAAGTTGCCAACTCTAATGTTCGTATCTCACTCAGGAACTTACTGTAAGGGTACTTGGTTTGCTGTGGTGTTTTGGAGTCACAGTGTCCCTATGTTCCCCAGGCTGGCCTCAAACTTCTGGGCTCAAGTGATCTTCCTGCCTCAGCCTGCCAAGTAGCTAGGACTACAAGTGCAAGCCACTGCACTTGATTGGCACCCTTTTCATAATGAACTCTTGTTACTAGTGTTATTGGGAAAACAAAATTTATCACCATCATTTCCAAAGCCAACAGTAATAAAAGCAAGCACACAGGGCCGGGGATTTAGCTCAGTGGTTCTGGCACCTGCCTTGCAAGCACAAGGTCCTGAGTTCAATCCCCAGTACCAAAAAAAACCAAGCACACAAACATAACTCCAGGCTCAGAACTGGGGATTAGGAAAAGCATCAGATGGACACCTGGGCTTCCAGCAATGCCTGGCCAGCAAAGATAAGCTTTACTTAACTGGTGGAGAGGAGATTATTTGCCATGCCCTACTCTGGCCAGGGCCAGTAAGGTGTATTAGTATTGGGTACCAGGTCTTAGAAAGCAACCCACTGGCAGTCTGTTTCACAAGATAGTACTATTTAGGTAGCAAATATATCCCACAGTCAGCTTCCACTGTCATGGAGATTGGTCAATATTTTCATAAAGTGTTCAGAGAAAAACTTCATCATTTTGCTCTATCTGTGGAACAGGAAGCTTTACATTAGGTATACCAGGCCCCTTTGGGAGTTACAGGGTTTCCAGTGTCCAGTTAGCACTGGGACCACCAGATGTGACAACCGTGCACATGTTCTATCCCATGGCTGTCCTTTCAACTCACTTGGAAAAAGTCCGTGAGACTTTCTCTGAATGACAATAGACGGTGTGAAAGAGCCAGGAGAAGCTGAGGCAGAGCACTGCACCCAAAAAGAACATTCCAAAAACCACCTTCTCCTGTAGAGGGGCCATGAAGTACATATTTGGTCGGAGCATGGTCAGGATTCCCAAAAAGAGAAAGAGCACAAAACCTGCAGGAGGGAAAGAGAAGGAAACCTGTGAGGTAAAAGGGAACACGTGCTGTGACAGCTGATGGCTTTATATCCATCAACTATGGAGTGGGAACTGTAGTCAGAAACTTCAGAAAACATGGTCACCAGTCATTCAAACTCAGACAGAAAGACTGGTTTTTGAGATGCTGGCATTTTGTTTTTATAATGAGAAATTCTGAATGAGTCACCTCTATCTAGACCAGTTCTACCAGGAATCATAAGAGAACATCTAGTCTCAGATACTCGTTTCTAACCTTTTTTTTTTTTTTTTTTTTTTAAAAAGGAGGAGTTTGGTTCATGCCACCCTCAGTCTTAAAGAACAGTAATCAAGGGTCAACCAAGGTCAATGGTACCACTGCAGAGCAACTTTCTTCTTCCTTCCCACGGACCAAGACTGTATGTATATAATCCCTGGACAGTTAAAGGAGACAAAATATTGGACTTTTCCCTCTCCAAATCACTCACCAAGTAGATGGGTCCAGATGTTGCCAGTTTCTGTATGGATGCGGAAGATGCTCTTGAAGCAAGCCCGGAAGGAGGGCATGGGTGGCCGGTGGCCATGTAACAGGTAGTCATTGTCCTTCAGCCAGTCAGGGAGCACATCATATGGGATGACCCTCCAACGCCCCTCCCAGACCTAGAATACATACAGTGTCTCTAGGAAGGGCCCTGGAGAACACTACCTGCCCCAGAATACTACACACCAACTGGTGAAGGACAGCCAGTGTAGGAGGGTGTGGGCCAGCCTGGATGGTTCCAGCTCATAGTGGGGAACCAGTTAGACTAGGAGATGGTCAGGACACAGCACAATAGAGAGATAATAGGAATAGAGAAGTTCAAATACTTCCCCAATTACATATTCCATTGTTTCAAAAATATTTCAATATGTATGCTAATTTCTTTCCATTTATACTATTAGTTTATCTTAGTTTGCTGAAAAGAAAGTTTTGTGTTATTCTATTTTTTTTTTAAGAATCTTTGGTTTATGTCTTGTACTGAGTAACTACTTTGAAGACAATGTAGGTAGTGTATTAACTACTGTTATTATTTTGTTACAAAATTTTGTTTCATTTTTTTTCATTAAAAAGAGCACAAATGGGGCTGGTAAGAACTAATCCTATTTTGACTACTTCATTAAAAACTCCCTTTGTCCTTATTTCATGTTGTTTATCTGGGCATGTTTTACTCCTCAACCTTTAGACTATATTGCACCTTTAGACTCATTGAAATTTAAAAATGTAGTGAATGAAAACAAAGAAATTAGATATGTTCTTTTAAAAAACAGAGCTCCCTTTTACTCTAAGAGATCGCTTCCTGCTCTATCCTTTTACCCACATAGATTCTTTCTTACAGGGCTGGGCCAACATCTTTGTAGAGCAGGGGTTCTTCATCTAGGATCCATGTACAGTAGATAGAATCCAGAGAATAGACGAAAACTTGTATGAACAAAGTATCTTATTCTTATTTACGTCTAATTAAATACTACACTCCCCCCAATTATAAACAGAGCTAGGTGCGGTGGCACACACCTGTAATCCCAGCACTCTGAGAGGCTGAGGGAGGAGGATTGCAAGCCAGGACAACTTAGGAGGACCCTGTCTCAAAATAAAAATGGGGCTGGGGATGTAGCTCAGTGTAAAGGCCCTGGGATCAATCTCTAGTACCAAAAAACAAAACAAAACACCAACACATATCAGTAGTAATAGCTGAATCTGTGGCTTTGTCATCAATAGAAATCAAGCATTTTCAGGGTTAAGGATGTAGCTCAGGGGTAGAATGCCTGTCTAGCACACACAAGCCCCTGGGCTCAATCCTCAGCATACCAAAATAAAACACAAACCAAACCAAACATATATTTTCATACTATTTCATAGTTTTTTTGGGTTTTTTTCTTGGAGGACAGCCTTGAACTTGCTAAGTTGCCCAGGACGGCCTCAAACCCACGCCTCTTGCCTGCAGCCTCCTGGTGCTAGGATTACAGGCATGCACCAGCCCAGTGTCCTTCATACACTAGTTTTGCACAGACCTCAAAATCTCATTACTACCAGGAATTTGACATTTTAATAAAACATCTTAAGGCTTCTCACATTAATGCATATTGGATGTATTATTAATAAAGGAGCCCACCCATATTACTAGATAATTTAATAATTCTGATGACTGCCAAAGGGTCCCTTACCACACACACGCAAAATTAAAAACCTCTGTTTTAGAGTATTTTTTTGAACAATGCCCAACACAGTAGCTGGTAAAAATACAGCCAGTCTTCACCTTAACCAAAAAACAAGCCCACCCACAGAAGTAAAAGCTCTTCACCCCCACGCAAGCCTGCCAGATGAGAACATCCGGAAAAGTCTGCTGCCCTTTCCCTTCCACGACAGAAGCTCCAGGCTGCACCTTATACACAAACTCCTCCATCTTCTCCATGGCATGGTGGGCCTGCAGAGGGAGTGTCAGCACCCGCACCTCCTCCTCCTCTTCTTGGGGCACTGGGCATGTTTGCTCATCTTCAGCCTGTGGAAAAAACCAACCAACAATCAAAACTTCAGGGAGTCACCTCATCAAGTGGACCATTCCTGATCACAGAAACCCAAATGCAACATGTGCTACCTCAGCAATCCTACCCAGGGTCCTGCGGCTCTTCTCCAGAAGTACGATACTTACTGAGTTTACAATGCTGCAGTTCAAGGGTTACTGATAGTATGCAAGTGCTGGAATGAAAGTTCTACTCAGCACTCAGGGACACAGAATGGCTCTCCAGGCCTAGGTATTCTTTACTGCCAAATGACCCTTTTTCTAGGGCAAGCGGATCTTCGTTTTCCCCAATTTTCCCAATAATCTTTCTCTTCCAGGTCACTAAATTTTCCAAACAATGAAAAAGACATAGTCTCCAAGATTTCCTTAAGAACAATCCTGTTTTTCATGGTTGTCTTTTCACTGGCTCTGGGGATGCCATCATGACTGCAACTCTGTATCCACGGGAGCTCCCTGGGCTGAGCCTCAGAACTGTTTTCATACCATGCAGCAGTACTGACTCCTGGGCCCAGCCAGCTCTCCTGGGGGAGAGCACAAGCGTATAAAGGAGAGAGACCTTTCTCTAGGTTTCAGGGCTCCAGACCAGAGCCAGGAAGCCTGGCAGCTCAACTCCTCCTTTGGCCTATGCTCCTACTCTCTTCTGCAGGCACATGGTCCCTCTTCGATTTTGTGGTACAGATTCTGGCCTGCCTACCCCAATATCCATTCTCTCTCCTAATAAGGTACAAAGTCCTTGGTTTTATTCTTTTTTTTTTTTTTTTGGTACTGGGGATCAAACTCAGGACCCTGCGCTTGCACAGCAGGCAGCGAACCCACTGAGCTAAATCCCTGGTTTTATTCAGAGTGACAGTGTCATTACAGTTTTACTCAGGTCCAAATGAAAAGGCATTTCCTAACTCTCATTGCAGCTGAATATTGGTATGTAACTAAATTCTGGCACAAGTGTTGGTAAGTCCCTGCTGATGCAGCCTTTGCAAGGCAGAGTGGGCCCTTCTTCCTGTGGAATTGTGGACACAATGGAGGAGCTAGGCACATGCCTGATAGTAGCAGAACCTCCCTATCAGCCTTGGGCCAGTTACTTCCAGAATCCTTTTACTTGAGACAGACTTCTAATTTGTCAAAACTACAGGGCTCATTTTTATATGAGAAAATGAAAAAATGGAAACAGTCTTTGTAAATAGGGAGGGATGGAGGGGTTGAAGGGAGGGTAGGGGAAGAGGAAAAAATAAGAACCAAGAGAGATTATGTAAAGGTGCAAATTTCCAATGATGAATGTCATTATATTGTATACCTAAAATGTACCAATAAAACAAAAAACAAAAAACTACAGGGCTTTTTGTTTGTTACATGAAGTCAACCCTAACCCTAAATGCTTTCTACATTTATTCATAGAAATTTACTGATTACTTATTAGATTTCAGGCCTTGTGCTAAGCAGCGGAGTTATAAAAGTGCCAAGCATTTTGGGGGGAGTGAACTCCCCAAAGCTTACAGTAGGAAAAACAGACAAAATGATACTTATGGACCTCAATATGTTCCCAGTGTACATGAAGGTAAGACTTTAAAAACCAGAGACTAGTAAGACCCACGGAGAAGTATCAGTCAAGAGAATGAGTCCTGGGAAGATGACTTACTTTGGTTGGGTTGGCAATTACCCGCTTGCCTTTCTCTTCTAGAAGAGGTCCCAGTTCAGCCAGTTCCACTGTGTCAGTTTCCCTGTTACTGGCAGGAGTCCCAGTGCCCTGTGCTGCCACCGATCCTTTGTGGGAAGACATCTGGCTGGTACCTTAATACCTTGCAGCTTCAGCTTGGGGGAAGGTTGGGGTCCCTCAGCCCCAAGGGGCAGAGATCTCCCTATGATGGCAGACACTAAACGCAAACACAAACATGAAGCATGTGATAATTTACTCCTCTTATAGTTTCCTCCCCAGAATTCAGTGTTGAGTAAGACATAGCTAATTAGCCCACACCCTACCTCCAATTTTAAAAGCTAGTCTACTGCTTAAATCTATTCCTTGTCCTCTCTTTCACAACTTTACCCAGAATTTCATAATTCTTACAGATAAAGCTGAAAATACACATAACACCTATTTGCTTGTCTTCACAGGATCTACAGTTACTGCACCAAACTGTTACTACAGAAAAACAGGTACCCATTCCAAAGTTCTTCCCACCAGAATGGAGCCCATTTAGTGATGAGTCTTGTCTGCTGTTCCTTTTTTTTTTTTTTTTTTGGTACTGGGGATCGAACTCAGGTCCTTAGCTTGCAAGGCAGGCTGTGGAACCACTGAGCTAAATCCCTGGCCCTTGTCTGCCATTCCTAAAACTCATTCTGCCCAGCTTTGAGACTGACAAACAAAAAGCCAACACTTGGCTACAATTACAAGATCATCTAGGTTTAGAAATAATGTACCAAATGAACTCAGCTGGACTTTATCTACAAATGTCCTGACAACTGGACTTTGCATATGAAAAGAACGTGGTAATAGGATAGATACTCAGTGGTTAATTTCTCTGCAAGATCTACTAATTCTATTTTAGACTTGGAGCTTTGGTTCAACACTTGGATAACAAGCTTTCATCACTTCTCTTCCTAAAGCAAGCAATAACTTACCTGGAAGCAGGAAGCTGAAATAAGGAGGTAGCCCCATGTTTGCCCCTTGCCACACAACATACCTAATAACTGGATCCACAAGAGTTTGTCACAACCACCACAGCCTATAATCTAAGCCTCAAATGAGTTTTCTAGTTTCTGAAACACAGCTACATAGATCCACAGAAAAAACAGAGAAACCCAGATTTTAGTTTTCCAGAAAGAGTCTCAGAAACACTTTGGATTTTGAGCCAAACTTTAGGAAGTAATCTTTAATCACGCCCCGGGGAGGTGTAAATAATACAAAACAGAGCGGAAAAGTTTCCAAAGATTTCTACTATGTTGTAAATCATGTTTCCTCTGTACTCCCTTTCAGAGACAAAAGCTAATACAAAGCTAGAGATAAAAAGCAATGACCATAGCTAGAATCTTAGCATTTTCTTGCATGTTACCAAGCTCTCTGATGTTGGGAAGTAAACACGACTTTCCCCCAGAGACATGACACTGTACATGGCTGTTCACTATACATACCAACATTTCTGAAATCTTGTACTAGTTCTATCCAAAAGTACTCATAATTCTTTCTCAGGGATTATAAATGGGCATAAGTAGTCAGGTGTGATGGTTAATTTTAGGTGTCAACTTGTCGAGATTAATTAAGGGATACCCAGATAGTTTGCAAAATATTTCTGGTTATAGCTGTGAAGGTGTTTCAAGAAGAGACTGGCTTTGACTTAGTGGACTTAGGAAGGAACCTCTGTCTGCCCTCACTCAATGTGTTTGGGCTTCCTCTAATCAACTGCGGGCACGGACCAAACAAAAAGGGACAGGAAAGATGAATTTTCTCTCTCCAAGCTCTAAGACTCAAACTGGAACCCTGTCCTGCCCCGAACATAAAGAACTCTAGGTTCTGCAGGCTTTGGGCTCTGCAACTTACAACAGCAGCCCCCAGTGTCTCAGGTCTTCAGCCTTGGACTGACAGTTACAAATTGGCTCCCTTGGTCCTGGAGCCTTAAGTCTTGAACTGAGCCACACCGCTCGCTTCCCTGGTTGTGTAGTTTGCAGATGCCTGTTATCAAAGTTAGCCTCTACAGTCATGTGACTCCATTCCCCTAAGAAACCCTCTCTCATCTATCAAATCTTATTTTTCTTTCTGGAGAACCCCAGTGCTTTAATTTGCCCTCAAGTGAGGGCGATCCTCAAATTTCAGAACAGTCATGGTCATTCTATGCTCAGCCCACGAGCACAGCAGAAAGCAATAGGCAAATCCAGTTCAAGAGTGACAAAGACAACTCCCTGTACAGCAGAACTTTACATGGTGTCAACACAGTTCCTCCTCCTGACAAGATAGATGGCAGCACACACTCATAGTCAACTAACAAGCTCAAGAAGAGGAAACTGGAGGCCTCTGAAAACCTCAGGAGATAGGCAACCCACGTGAGAATAAACATTGGGAAATCTTTCTTAATAGCTGACCTCAAAACATATTTCTTCAAAATGAAGTGCTACGAATACACAGCTTTACTAGGGAATCATTTATACCACTGAAAAAAAAATACAAATAGCTTTGGCGTGCCTTTACGAAGTCTGAAAAGTGGCACACACTTGGTTAAATACTGCTACCCATAATGTAGACTAAGCTACCACAGGGGAAACAAAAAATCAACCACCTAAGATTCTGGGACGAAATACTACATAAGTGATTATTTCCATTAGAATCCACATTTTAAAATGAATGAAGTGGGGCAGATTCCACCAACAAGAATATGACTTTGCTTTCTGCTACTAGGCAAGGTTTGTGTGCTTTTTCTTGTGTTGTGGGACTTTCTCTTATCCCTTCCCCCCAGAATGACCCAACACATTCTGTGAATATTGAAAGAAATGTATTTAGTCCTAGGACTCTAAGGCCTTGTGCAAATATGAAGTTGAATAAGTTATGTCACCATCTTCAAATAACCTATAATTAATTAGACGGCATAAGGCAGTGATATCCAAATGAAGTAATACAATTTCATTGCTCCAGGAGGGCAGTGGAGGGAGAGAACCCCTTAACTAGAAAGGCCACACACTAAATTCAGTTATTTTGAGTGCTGTGTATCTGTTTTACAGAGGTAATGAGAATATAGAGAAATCTGAAGTTGGACAATTAGGATCCAAAGATCAGAAGCAGAATCCAACTTAGCATTCTTACTAATTTATTTGATCTGAAAAGCTTTTATGCCCTCAAGTCTCCTGGGCATCATCAAAAATTTTTTTCCTTTTTTCTGTCCAAATCATTGTTAATTATTGATTCCCTCCAGCTCCTCTGTCACTGGCTTCTATGCCCCTCCCATCTTCTAGACCCAGAGTCACCAAACCTAACACACACCCCAGTTAAGTCACAAACCAGCCATCAGCTACAACTCATCACACAAAATACAACATGCATTGAAGTACATACACTGGAGGGCAGTGGAGATCATGTCATCCTAGTGAGCAAAGTCCACTGTCCAGCTTGGTCTTCTAAACTGTAGCAACACAGACAGGAAAGGGGGAGACAAGGATCGGAGGTCTGGCAACAACAAAGAGCAAGTAATACTTGGCCCTGAAAATATCACCTCTATAGGGTAGACCACTCACAGACAAGTTTTACAAGCGTTTAGTCTTATATAAAACCAGCACAAACCCCTAAGGTGTTAAGACTATTCTAGGAGACACAGGAGAGCCAAAATACACTTTGACTTTCTGCCAGCTTTCTGTCCTTATGTATTTTATAGGAAACCTTTCCTCTCCAATTTGCCACACCCAACACAGCACATTATAATTGAGCCAAATTTCCAGGAGTGTATTTCTGATGGGATTTCTTTAACTCAAGCTAATAACTTTTAACCACTAGGCTTTCCAACTGGATAAGCCTAGAAATTAGACAGCAAAGCTGTGGAGGCTGGGAGGTGTTTGTTCTCCTACTAGTAGGATAATCCTGTGCCAAACTTCGAGAAAAGGTTGATTCTTGATCACCAGTCACTTAGCTGGAGTGTTATTTCCCTAACGGTTTTTGGAGACATTTATTCTATGAACCAATTTCTGAGTTTTCCAGGCTGTGACACACTCTTCCCCTGGAATCAAAAGATCAAAGGCTCTAGGGGTTTTTATTGTGGGTTCCTGAACGCTTAGGAGATTCTGTGCATAGCTCTATGTGTAGCTTGATTCTTACTGCTCTAAATCAAGACCAGCATAGCAGTATAGACAAAGAATCACCTCCTCCACATACTCTTTTTTTTAGGGAGGGTAGTTTCGTAGCTCTGTGGGGGAAAAAATGAATCAAGGCAAAGGCCTATGTTTGAAATCACCAAATTCTAGCTGTGGGAACTCAGCTCTCTTACTTGATGCCAAGTGTCAATGATTTAGACTCTAATGGGTAAAATCTAACTTTCCTTTGTAGCTCTTCTCTAGTTAAAGCTATCCCAACAAAAGAAGGCTTTAGGTCTTTTTGATTTCAGAGACAAGTAAAATTTTCTAATGCCACAACTACAACAAAAACCAATACAGACATATGACGGATTTTCACACCAGCACCTGTTATTAACACTATCTTTAAATTTAAGGTACAGTACAGACACAGGGTCAATACAGTTGCACAATACAGCACTCACTTTATACAGTGTAACCCAGAAGCCCCAGGGAAACAAAACTAAACTACATGCATGCCTAAGAGCCAATCACTTGGAACTAGTTTAGCTAGAGGGCATATTCAAGGATCTTTCCAATCCAAGAGGGCTACAAATTTTACAAACATTAATCACACTCCCAACATTTCTAAGCATTTGTTCTCTATTTCCTTAGGAGATAAAGACAAAGGAGTCAAGAGGCTTGCAAAGGTTGCTGGCCTCTATTTTAAGAGGGAGAAATAACTTTGGCTTTCTAATAAAAAAGGGTGAGTACCTTTAAGTGCTGGAGGAATTCAGATGAAAAGCTCAATTTTAGTTGACCAGGAAAGTTTTGTGAAAGGACTTTAAGAAAAGATACTGACAGGCAGAGAAGGGAGTAGGGTATTGCAGATATATACAAGGGTATAAAAGAACACAGCCCCCAGGCGTGGTGGGGCAGGCCTGTAATCCCAGAACTCTCTGAGGCAGGAGGGTCCTGCAAGTTTGAGGCCAGCCTGGGCTACACAGTGATTCAAGGGGCTGCCTGAACTACCCAAAAACAAAACAAAACAAAACAAAACAAAACAAACAGAAAGAAGAAAGAAAGAACGAACGGATGAACACAGCCTGTAGGGCAGTGAATTATCCACTTTTCCTTACTGGGGTCTCAGACACAAGTCAAATTGAGGCCACACTAACGAAAGTGAAGACAGCCTAAAAGCCTCCTTCATCCATTGGCAATGGAGAGCCTATTGGGGTTAATGTTGCTTCCGGTTTTCTGACTCTCTTAGCAGGCAAGTGGTCATGTATTTATTCCTTAGGGAATCACACAATTTCTTGACCACTGACAACACAATGCTTTAGATTCCACTCTGCAATTAGATTGTTTTTTGAAGGTCTACCTTAGGATGGGACTTCACAGATAACACCAATTTTTAAGGCTAATTTCCGAGTACCAACTGCAATATGGATACAACAGAAATTTTTCCTGGAATAAAGAAATGTAGTGGCTGCAAGCCGGGAACCCTGACATTGCAATCTGCTCAGCGCCACATTGTCTAAATCCCTGCCAGTGTAAGACACTATGAAACCTCAGGAACAGCAGTTACACCCTCAGCCTACCCTGTCAGTATCAAAAGAGAAAAAGCACTGAACAGAATTCACTATAACTTCAGCTCAGAAAGAACCAGCCATTACTATCTTCACTGGATGTGAGAGTGGCCTACATATTCACCTCCGTGTCTTCCAGCCTGTCTTCCAAATACTGGAGGGAAACAGCATGGTAAACCTAGCAGAGTACAAGGCCTCTTACAGGCCCGCTGACAACTCTTCTCTGCGAAAATTCGCCCTGTCAGTTTCCCATTTTCCCAGGAAGCATCAGAACGCGTAGGAAAAGCACTTATCTATTTTGTTTTCTTAAAAAACCGAGGGCTTGAAAACCCAATTTCTCAAATATAAAATTCTAGGTTTCTAAGAGAACGAAATCTCGGTATTTTCCAAAGTACAGTAGTTTAGACTTTACTCGAATTTCAGCTTTAGGATTACTTTAAACCCATAGATCGTCCGCGAACCTCTCCTTCGACTCCACCAAGGTGGGGGTGCTGGCGCGGTTTCATCTGCCAAAGACTGTGGGTGAGGAGCCCTGGGCTTCGCCGGCCACCTGGGCGGGGGTCTCCCCTAGGCCCTCGCCCCACTCGCGGGCTCAGCTCCAGGGATCGCTCGCGTCCCGACCCGGGCGGGAGCCAGGGCGCCTCCAACCGCCCCCCATCCGCGGGGCCGAGCGCGCGGCACTCACCGGGGCTCCGGGGCCGGGGACAGCGGGGCCGAGAGCCCGCCCGAGCGCTCCGAAGAGGCCGGAAATGTTTACAGCCCGCGTGCAGGGAAGCCGCGGGCCCAGCCGGCTCCTGCACGGCGCCCGGACCCGCGGGACCTCGGGGCGCGCTGCCCCCGTCTGTGCCCTCGCGGACCGAGGCTGGGGCCGCCCGGGCCACGCGCTGGGGCCGAGTCCCGCCCCCGGTCAGCCCCGGGGAAACTTACGGCCGGGCGGGCGGTGCTGGGGGCCGCGGTCCCCCGCGCTACATCCCGCGGCGCTGGCGGCGGCCTGCGGCCCAGCGGTCCCAACGCTGAGCGGCCTCCCCGCGCCGGAAGGGGCGCGCGACCGCCGGCGTCACCTCCGCGGCGCGTCACCTCCGCGGGGCCTCCGGACTCTCCAATGCCGGGCGTTGCTCCCGAGTCCCAAGCACAGGCCGCTCTCGGCCCCGCCCCGTGCCGCCGCGCTCCAACCGCGCGCCGCGACCGCCCAGCTCCGCCCCCGCGCCGTCCAATCGCGGGCCGCCCTCTCAGGCACGAACCCAGGCGCGTGACGGAGCAGGGATTCCAGAGAATTAGACCAAGCTAGGGGAGGAATGCTGCGACTCCCACTAGCCGCGGGTTGCGTTTCCCCGTTACCCACGCCAATCCAGTCGGTTCGTCTCCAAAACACTTCCTAATCCCATCTTCTCTGGCCCCTCCCTCCCTTCCTCTGAGACTTACTCAGTGACTGCCACGTCCCGGGCACTGAGCTGGGCTTGAGTTTGAGCTCCTGATCCTGTCAGAGAGGGTGAAATTGCCTCTAACCAGGCTTGCTTGAGGACACGCCCTGCAGCTCCTGCCCGACGTGCTCCCCGAGAACGTATTCCTGGGAGACCATCTAGGGCAGTGCGGCCTCCTCGCGGCACAACACAGATGATTTTTTGTTTGTTTGTTTTTGAGACAGGGTCTCACTACTTAGTTCAGGTTGACCTTGAACTCACTAGCCCAGGCTGGCCTCGAACTCACGGCAGTACTCTTGCCTTAGCCTTCTGAGTGACGGGATTACAGGCGAGAGACTGGCCATTTCCTCATTCTCCCAAGCTGTCTTGCAGTTAATGTCACTAGATTAGAGGAAGGAACTCAGCACGAGATGGGTGGGGGTGGTGGTTCACGGGTAATATCAGCACACTGGAGGGTGAACCAGGAGGATCCCAAATTCAAGACCAGCCTGAGGGACTTCATGAAACTGTATCTCTGAATAAAAAGGACTGAGGTTGTAGCCCAGTGCGAAGCCCTCAGCTTCAACCCCCGGTACCTTGCAAAAAGAACAAAAAGCCTCAGGGTAATGGGGTCAATTCCATTATGCTGGGTAAAAAACGTGGGCTGTGGAGTCAGTCACCTGTGTGATCGTAAGCACATTATTGAATAACTACCTCAGTTGAAAATGGAGATTGGAGATGGTGCTTTTTCGTTGAGTCTTTGTCAGGATTGAGAGAATCCGTGCTCTTAGTCGGATGCCTGGCACATGGTCAGTGCTTCATAAATGTTAGCTATGATTGGCTTGACCGCTGTACAAATCCCCATCCTGCCCAGGTTCAGTTGTCTCTTCAGTGTGGCCCTCTGCAAGCTCGCTCTAATTCAGCGCAGACCTCATCTGCCGCCATTTCCCTCTGGCACCCAGGGCCAACGAACTCCAAATGCGAACTTCTTTCACCCCTTTCTGTTTGTGCGGGTCCTTTGCTGGATTGTCTTCCCTCCCACCGTCTGCCCAAGATCCAAGCAGTTTACAAGGCCCAGTTCTAGGTTTGACTTTGGCCTCAGGCAGAGTCATCTACCAGCTGCTGGCCAGCTCTATTTCCTTTGGCAAATCCTTAATCTTCAACTCCTGGCATTAGCATCAGGGTTAAATTGTACAACACGGAGTTTTTGCACAGTACCTGGTGCATGGCTGTTAATTAAAAGATGTTCTCTTTCTCTTCTTCTTTGAATCGTTTCTCAGCTCCCTTCCATCTGTACCTTGGATTTGTGCTACAGTATTATCACACTGTGTTGTAATAATTTGTTACTTGTCTATCTTCTACTGTAAATTCTTTAGGGGTTTTGGTCACAGTTGTATCTGCAGAGGTTACCACTCTGCTAGACATGCCAGGTCCTCAATAAAGTTTTGTGTGCCGGTGTGGTGGCGGACGTCTGCAATTCCAGCACTCTGGAGGCTGAGGCAGGAGGATCACCATAAATTTGAGGTCCGCCTGGGCTCCACAGTGAGTTCAAGGCCAGCCTGAACTATAATAGTGAGACCCTGACTCAACAAAAGAAAAGGTTTGTATAAACGAAAATAAAGGTTTGTATGTTGAGTAAACAAGGCTTACTCATTCCCACATAAAACAAGGAGTAGTGAGTAGGAATTATCTCTGCCAGACTGCTGCTTCACACCTAACAATACTAGGCAAGATTTTCCTTTTTGGAGATGAGATGCGGCTGGGAGTGCCATGTCCAGAGATCCCTATGGCCAGGTTTATGCTCCACAGATGAGGCAGGGCCCCATGGGAGGAGCACAGGCGACAAGATGGCGAGGTGGAGCAGGGCCTGGCTGAGAAGAGGACATGCCTTCCTCCATTCCCCATAAAACTATCAAGTGTGAAGCCCTGCAGAGATTAGCAGCTCTCCCTGTTCCGGTTACAGACCAGCCCCTTCACTGCCCCCTGCACTTCCCTCATTGCTACAGCTATAAATAAATGCACTGCAGTTGCCAGCCAGTCCTTTTCTCCCATCAGGAGGAAGGCCCCACCTGGCCTCAGCTTTTTGTATCTGTCTGTCTTCATCCTACACCATTCTCCCTCTGTGGACCCTGGACTCTTCAGCAGCACAGGCTGTGGCAAGGTGCCTGAGAGCACACTGCACAGTGTTTATTAAATGACCAAGAAATGTTTGATAGAGGTGGGCATAGTGGTGCACACGTGTAATACCAGCAATAAGGAGGCTGAGGCAGGAGGATAGTGAGTTCAACAGTAGCCTGGACTACATAGTGAGCCTTGTCTCAAAAATGAAAAGGAAAAAAAAATCAAGAGGGCCAGGAATTTAGCTCAGTGGCACCATGCCTGCCTCACAAGTGCAAGGTCCTGAGTTCGATCCCCACATCGAAAAAGAAACACCACCAATGCAATTTACCAAGAATCTCTGCCCCAAGGAAGGTGAGTTCTGAGAGTCCCACAAAGCATCTCTCAGGGGCCTCAGAAACAGAAACACCACCAATGCAATTTACCAAGAATCTCTGCCCCAAGGAAGGTGAGTTCTGAGAGTCCCACAAAGCATCTCTCAGGGGCCTCAGAAACAGAAACACCACCAATGCAATTTACCAAGAATCTCTGCCCCAAGGAAGGTGAGTTCTGAGAGTCCCACAAAGCATCTCTCAGGGGCCTCAGAAACAGAAACACAGATTTATGCCAAAAGAGCAGTGTTGAACTTTCTCCTGGACCCACAGCATTGCTCTGTCTGAATGAGACCAACAGAAGAATCCGAAGAGGCTGCCATTGCCCTGTCTGGGACAGCGGAGTGGATTGGGCCAAGCCCTCATGGCAGAAAGGGGCACTCAGGACAGGTGGGCTCAGGAGGCCAATGATGCAAGCAGCAATAAACCTAATGGCGGGGCGGGGGGGGTTGGTGATGTCAGGTTGCTTTCTAAAGGAGAAAGCTTCCCTTCCAAATGGAAAGGCAGGGCAGGGGATTTAGCTCAGTGGTTTTACCACCTGCTGCACAAGCACAAGGACCTGAGTTCGATCCCCGGTACCAAAAAAAAAAAAAGTTCCTAATGGAAAGGCAATACTTTGATTTGTTTGCCAGGTAATCCGTAGAGAGATAGGGTGAAGGAGAAGCCAGAGAAGAAAGGGAGGGGGCCAAAGCAAGGACTGCAGGAGGGCTACTTGGGCTCCCCTCCATCACTGCTCTCCTGTCCCTCCCCACACAGACCTGCAGGGAGGCACTGAGCACTGGCTCTGGAAACAGCTGCTGAGCTGATGGAGAAGTCTGGCGGCCGCTCACGTTTCAGCACATGGTGCAACTTCCCTGAGGCTCCTGGGAAGTCTCTCTGAGGCAGGTGGCAGAACCACTGAGCTAAATCCCCAGCCCTTGGGAAGTCTCTCCAACCAAAGTTCTTAGGCGTTTGGACACCAGGACCCCAAAAATGACAACCCCTTAGGTATCGCATTGGGGTCTCAGCCCCATTTATTTGAACAGGTTCCTCACGTGAGCAGCAGTCTTAGGTTATGGGTAGCCATTTCCCTCTAACCTGGGCACCAGGCAAGAGAGACAGATGCGCAAACATATTTCAGACTCCTTTCTCGGAGGTCTGCAGTTCTGAAGAAGCTATTTCATCCGTTTCTACTATATAAAACCACCTCTCTAGGTCCACTCAACTTGCCCTCACATAAATGAAGAATTTGCCCATGGGTTAAATACTGTATAGTAAGTAAAACTCTGTACTTTTTATCACAGACATAAAGGTCAAGTGTGATACTATCAAGGAACGAGCCAGGCTTGGAGCAAATGTGCATGCTCCCTTCTTTCTGACCCCAGGACTACATTTCCATGGGCCTCACCTGGACCCTTCACCACAGGGAGATCTGGGGCCCTTCCAGGGAATGCCTTGGCCCTCGCCCTCTTGCACGACTCCAGGGATGTTGTTCTCGAGAGTGTTATCCACCTTTTAGCTCCAGAGAAAGTTGCAAAAATGACACTTTCAGGAAAAGAATCTATAGCTTATATAGTATTTGAGCACTGACTAGGGGCAGTTGCAGACAGGGGACCAGGGAAGCCAGGAGATGCTCAGTAGGTGAATCGCATCTTTTGCGAGTAGCCCAGTTTGTCCAGGTTGGGATGGCAGGCCAGCTGCACCATTGGGGTTGGCCCACAGAGCAGCAGCAGCACATCATCCCCTGGGGCAGGCAGGTGCTCCTGGATCATGTCAGCAGTCACAAAACCCTTGCTGTAGGGCCAACCTGAAGTAGAGAGGAGAGGAGAGGACTGATGCTCCAGACCAAGCCAGCAAGGGAATGTGGTACATGAGGACGGGTGACTGGGGCAGCCCGGAAGGGCTCCTGGAGTCTCAGGGTGTAGCAGCTACAGCCCTCCCTGGCCCCCACCTAGTAAACAGGGACCTGAAGGAAAGGGAGCGGGAGACCACTGTGTTTGTGCATTAAGACTTGTGGGACTTTGGCAGTGTCAGGGAGGGTTGGCTCTGCAGAAACCAGAAACTCCCAGAGGGATATGAAGAGCTATTGGGAAGCCCAAGAGTACCTGACGGGGGATGGTCCAGAGTGAACCAGAGTTTAAAGCGATTGGGATATCGGGCCTGCAGTTCCTCCAAGTCCTCCCGAAGGATTATGTCCTTTTCAGTCTGAAATGCAAAGGAGAAGCAAAGCCTTAGAAATTTTCTCAGGCAACAAAAGTTCTCTGCTATGACAACTTTCTAACCGGGAGAGAAAACAATGCTATCAGCCTGCTAAAAGTTCTAGGGAATGAGCAAGTCTTTCAGTGCTTTTAGGGGACTAGGATGAGGGAAACAGCCATTATTTACACATAAAGGAATGAAATATCTAATAAGGGAGACTGTGTTTCTGTGTTCAGCACTAGATCCCTTAAATCCCTCTTCTTTCCTTGGGGGGGCCAGGGAAGAAATCTGGCTCAGTGCTCTTTCCTCATTATTGTAGTAGTGAGTCCTGTACCTTGTAAGGGAACCTGGGGCAGAGGCCAGAAGCAGCACTGGGCCTGTAGTCCTCATGGGTTCCACAGTTCTTGGTCCTCCCTATGCAGCAACTTTAAAGTGCCAGGACTGAGAAAAGCAAACCAACCTGGTTGGCAAAAAGCAGAAAGCACTGGGTTGGATCTTCAGGGACTTTCAGGATGGCCCGGATCAGCTGTAGCATGGGGGTTATTCCTGCATGAGGATAACCCACAGTGAGACATGGTGGCCATTCTCTGCTCTGCCCTGGCTCCATGGCCCACCAACCCTTTCATCTTAATTCTAAATTCTACTCATTCACATTCACTCCATTTTCCTTCTGTAGCCTAATCCTCTGACCTCCTCTTGCATATTTTCCTGTGTTTCTGGATCTCCTCAACATTCATAAGTTCGTATTGTGGAAATCCTTCTAAGGCTCTTCCTTCCAAAGTCTCTCAGAGGCTAGGGACTCAAATGTCACAGAGGACTACATGTGCCTCCTGACTCGGTGGATGGGGGTTCCGGGACATTGACTGGACTTGTAGAGGCTAAGAGCATCTCCTTTGGAATCAGACAGAGCCACATACTAATCCTGTCTCTGGCCACTACCTAGTAACCCTTCGGAATCCATTTAACCTCCCTGAATCTCCATTTTCTCATCTACACAAGGGAAAGACTAGTCCTTACTTCATAGATACATATATGTGTCTAGTACACAGTAGTAAATTGGACTACACACAGTGTCTAATATTAGATTAGTGTCTCATGCACAGTCATGTCTAATGCCAGTGTTCTTTCTGACTTGTCATCCTTAGCTGTTTCTTTCTACTCTCGATGAAAAATTATTAGATTCATTCAATTTGAAGAGAGCCTGCCTGATTTATTGCCCTCATTTTACCACCTAAAAAAATTTGGGAGATGAGTTCTACTTGCGTATGATTTTATTTTTCAGTTACTGATGAGGTCTAGATCTTGCTGGAGACCCCTTATTGACCATTCCACTATGATTACCAAATATTCGGAGGTCACTCAGGGTTCTGCCTGGTACCGATCAACAACAGCGGGAAGAGAATGAGAGAATGGCTCCTCCAGCAAGACACACCTGTCCCTCCAGCAATCATTCCCAGTTTCTTTGCCACCTGGGGCTCTGGTGGAGATTTCTTGTTGGGCTGAATGTTAAAATTCCCTGAGAGACAAAGAGAAGAGAGAGGTAGAACAAGGTGAAAAGAGAAAACTAAGTAAACAGATGCAGAATTGAAAATATGCCTGAGGCCAGTTGAGCAGTTGCTATGAAATCTGATCCTGGAACTGGGTGAAGGCTTGAGTGGAACCAGTCCTGACAATAATACACTGAAGGGCAGTGGGGCCAATGCTGTCAGTCCACAATCATTTCAGGGCCACAGTGAGTATTAGCTGCTTCTGGCAGAGGGTCACTCCCCACCGAGGGTGACAGGCATGGGGCCAGGTATGAATCTAGCCTCCCCAGAGGCACAGAGCAGCTCCGAGGGCTTGCCAGAGCACCCAGCTGTTCCCCTGGGAAGGGCTGAAAGCTATCTCTTCTGGATCTCTTCACAGCTCAGCCTGAGGCAAGAGAGCTTCAGAGAAGGAACCAGTTTCATGTGTTTGCTTTAGTAATCTCCACAGCTGTCTGACAGGGCTGGTGAACTGAAACTCACAGTCGGAAGGAAGCGTCCCATCTAAAGGGCTGAAAAGTATGTTTTTCTGTAGCGTCAGTGCTACGCTGAGAAGTAAAGACAGCTGCAGCCCTTAAACGTGTGTGTGCAAGCACACATGTGTGCAAGAGCACGCAGTGACAGAGAGCCAAGACTAAGAGAGCTGGAGAAGGCCCATAGGCTGAAGCAGACAGCTCCTTACCTTTCCCGGTGTAAGTGAGGAGCCCGTTTGGCCCCCGGAACTCTACCACGTCCCCAATCTTCAGGCTATCCAGGTATTGAGACATCTTCCCTCCCTCGGGAAACTTGGGGTGTACACCCTTCAGGTAGACCTGATAAAGCAGAGAGGAAGAAAATACCTTATTTGGGATGTTCCCAAAGCGGGGCTAGGGCCAGGTATCACAAGAATGCTATCTTTTCCCAGTCTACATACTTTCCTCATACCCACAAAGGAAATGCTTCCTCCTACTATCCAAAAAATCTAGGAAATTTCTACAAATTCCAGAAAAAGTGGGTTAATGAGATCACCAGGGTCCTTTCCTCCACTCTTACCTTGATGACGAGATCCACGTAGCCTCGGTCCTCATCACTGGTGACAGGAGTGTATGGCCTGATGACCAAGTTACCATCGATTCGGGCATAGAGGTAGACGTGTTTGCCTGGGGACCATGTGGAGAGCTACGTAAGTGCTCTCTGAGGAAATTTTGCATTCCTGTTACCATTCAAAACACTCAGGTTTGAGAGAACAGGATTTTAAAAAAAATTTTGGTTCATTTTGTTTTGTTTTGAGACAGGGTCTTACTATGGAATTCAGGCCAGTCTTGAACTCACTAGGGAGCCCAGGTGGGCCTCAAACTCACAGCGATCCTCCTGGGATTACAGCCATGTGCCTCCACAGCCAGGCAAGGGTAGGATATTTTGCTTTCTGCTGTGGTCCCAAGGAACTCCCAGGCAGAGCAGATTCACCCCTAACCTCAGCAGATCTCTTACCAAAGCCCGATCAGTCATCACAGGACCATGGAAACAGCAGGTAAGCTGAGGGCCCAGGCAATGGGGAAAAATTAGTGTGTGGTGGGGTGGGGTGGGGTGTAATGAGCAAGTCCTGTGGGAGAGAGGGAGGGCTGCTGAGTATTGAGGACGGCTGGGGGCACAGAAGCCACACCCTAAAGGGACCCAGAGGAACCTCAGTCTGCAGGATCCACAGCCAAGTGAGAAGCAAGGGAGTACGGAGGAGGAGGAAGTGAAGCAGTGCGTCTCACCAGACCCCAGACGGGAGACGCCCTCCTAGGAAACCAGGGAAAGGAGCCCACTCCACACTTTCCTTACCCACAGGCAGCCCCAGAATGTGGTGGGCGGTGGGCAGGGCAAAGCGGAACCTCTTGGTGTTGTGGCTCACAGTCTGGAGGATGGACAACACAAGGGTTTCACCAAGCGGGTCTGGCGCTGCCAAGTCCCTTGAGGCACCCCAAGCACAGTGGACGCTCTGCCTTCTGTACCAGAACTCTGGCCCCTCCCCCGCCCCTTCCGCAGTTTACCGTTTTGTCCAGGAGTCGCAGCAGGTACTTCTCATTGGGGTCCAGAAGAGTGACCTGCAGCCGGCGGGACTTTCGCACCAAGTAAGTGCCCACAGCCAGGCCGAGCAAGGTAACCAGCCCCACCCCCAGCGAGGCCAGCAGGATTGGGCCCTGTGGGTAGAGGAGGCAGCGTGATCTCCACTCTGGGAGCAGCCCAGGGCGGGCGTAGGACCGGCTGCCCGGGAGTGAGATCCCGAGCACCAGACCCAGAGCTTCGGAGGGGTAAAGCTGCACAGGGTCCCAGCCCGGAGGTGCAGTACGGGGACTCAGCATCCAGGTCGAGTCCCGAGCCCTCCGGGCTGAAGTCGGCGGTGGGAGCCCCTGGTCCGGACCAGATGTGCCGAGGTCCTGGGTACAGAATATAGGACAAGGGTCTCACCTGCTGCATCCCCATAGCTAAGCGCCGCGTCCTCCACCGCCTCGCCCGCGGACAGATCCCACAATGCGCCACAGGGCGGGCCGGGGCGTGGCTATCCAGAGGCGTGGCGGTGGGCGGGGTCGGCCGGCTCTGCCCCGCCCCTTTCCCGATTCACTCAGTGGCCCTCAGGTCCAGGGGCGCTCTTATCCAGGACCTTTAAAAACCGGCCCTCTGCGGTCTTCCGGTCCCTGTCACTTCGGTCCGCTTATCACCAGACCGGATAGCAATTCTAACACAGAACCTTTCTAACTCGGGCAGTTGGAGATCTCAGAGTCTGTGAGTCTTACACGCAGAGTTAAAGTTGAGCTAGAGAGAGGAAAATTAGTCATTGTGCAGTCACTGTAGTTTTTCCCACAGGCTAAATTGCACCAAAACAGTTGAACAGTCCTTCGGGGACTCTTTCAGGAAGGAACAGTGGCGTGGCGATTTCACTTCCTGGATCTTCTGGACGGAAGACTGGTTTTGTTCACCACGCCTGGCCTTCACACTTGAGCTTCCTTTGGGTCCAAGTCCAGCGTCAAGTCCTGATCTGGGTTCTCAGCCTTAGAAGCAAAGGCCTGGGCTTTGGAGGCAAACTACCTATAAGAACAGCGCCTCCAACACTTACTGGCTCTGGGCTGTGAACAACTCGATCAACTTCTCCAGCTTCTTCGTCTATAGATGAATGTACATTGTCATCTGTAGATGGGTAAAGTTTTGTTCACAGGGATGTTAAGAGGCTTTAATGGGATATGTTAATGGGCTTAGTGTAGTGCCTGTCATAGAGCAAAAATACCTAACAGATGGTAGCTACTCACCAATTCAAGACACAGAGGGTCACTTTGGGATTTGGACTGAGCTCTCTTGGCAGGAGAAGCATGGAACAGGAGTCAGAAATAGACACCAGGAGGCCCTGGTGTACACATCTGCCACCACGATGACCATTCTTTCCCATACATGAGTTTTCCAACCAGAACGACACTTGTTCTTTGTTGTGCAGTGATGGATAAGATTTCCACAGATGTCATTGTCAACATCTAAAGTAATATCAGCAGGGCAGCAGGGATGTCGGAGCACCAGTTTTCAGCTGTAGTTGGTGAACTCTGAAAATAATCCAAAAGATGCTTTGTGTTCTTTTTCTTCTGCATTAGCTGAAAATGTCAGAACCCTGGGTGGAGCTCCCTGTGAGTTTTAGAAGCAGCCTGTACCCTGTCCTAGGGGAAGTCAGGGTGTTCCGGGGTGTGGAGAAGTGCCAGTTTAGGTAGAGAGGGCTGCAAAGGGGGAAGGGAGCAGGGGATTTAGCTCAGTGGTTCCGCCACCTGCCTCACAAGTGCAAGGTCTTGAGTTCGATCCCTGGTACCAAAAAAAGAAAAAAGAGAGAGAGAGAGAGTGGGGATCCCTCTCCTTTTCTGTTTGGAGAGACAGAAGTACGCATTATGTACTAGGGCTTCTGACATCCCCTCTACTGGTGTAGCTAAGAAGCTGCACTACTGATCCCTGCCACTGGCCAGTTTTGTCTGTAGAGGTTCTTCTCCCTTGACTGACAGGGACCATGGCAAGAGAGGAAGTACAGAACCAAAGGAAAACACAATTACAATTCAAAGGGCAGACTTTAACTAGTGTGACTGCATCGCCAGGAACCATGGGATGGGATAGGTGCATGAGACTGGAAACTGTCTATGTGGTGTCGGTAACCATGATGAACCCTTAGTCCTGAAGAGAGTTGCTGTAGGGTGGCTGGAGAGGGGCTGCTCCCTTGGGCTGAAGACTGGAACAGATGACCTAGCCCAGAAGATGAATTCCACCTCTCCGTGACTCACAGCAGCCTTTCCTTTAATCCTTATTTGGAGGAAAGGGGGCATTTCTAGATTTTTTTTATCAAATCTAGTCTTCAAGCTTAGGTTTTCTACTTGAAGAATAGTAGAACAGAGACTAGATCCTGCCTCTTGGGAAGGGGAGGCAGGAGGGTTGCAAGTTTGAGGCAGCTTAGGGTGACCCTGTTTCCACAAGAACTAGGAAAAGGTTGGGTGAGTTGGGGACGTAGCTCAGTGGTAGAGCACTTGCCTGCATGCACGAGGCCCTGGGTTCAAACCCCAGTACTTAAAAAAAAGACACACTGTAGCCTGAAGGGGAAGTAGAATATTAAAAATATGTTTTATAACTCTGAATTAGAGTGTAAAATTCACTAGTTTGTTTGAAATACCATAGGATATCCAGGAAGAAATTTGGAGGTAGATCTGGTTTTAGAGAGGCAATGGCGTGGATGAATCAGAACAGGAGATGTAGGAACCTGACATTTGTTCAACATGTACCCGAAACTAGGTGAATTCCTTTTCACATATTCTGACACCATCCATTTACTCCTCACAACCATTTGTGAGATGGATCATTAATGTCCTTTTTTTTTCTTTTGGATCAAACTTGGGTCCTTGCGCTTGTGCAGCAGGCAGCGCAACCACTGAGCTAAATCCCCAGCCCAGATGTCCTTATTTTATAGAAGGAGAAACTAAGGTTTAAGACAATGTAACTAGCTCAAGCTTAACAAACTGGCAAAATCAGGGGGCACACCAGGCAACCCGATATTGAAGTCTTACAATCCCACACCCCCTTTTAAAATATTTCTAGTAAGGAAACCATTCAACACACCAAAGAAGAGTAGTGTAGTGAAGCCTCATGTACCCATCAGTCACCTTCAACAATTACTGTATTTTTATGGTAGAGAGGATTGAACCCAAGGTCTTTGCACTGAGCTGTGGGAGACCACATAGGAAGATTAAGGCCTAATTGCCCCCTCAGTGAGCACTAAGAAGAAAAGCAGTGCAAGCCTGTTGATGCTGTAGGGAAAACTAAAAACAGCTGAGGTCCTGTTTACTCAGACAAGTACCATGGAGGGTGGGAGGCAGATAAATCCTGTGTAACTAATTGGCTGTACTCAGGTCTGAGTGAATAAAGCCGGGGTGTGCCAGTCACTCCGGGCTTTCTGTTGAAGGGAGACAAGAGCCCCCTAGCCTTCCACTTTTTTTGGGGGGGGGTACCAGGGATCGAACTCGGGACCCTGCGCTTGTGAGGTAGGCAGCAGAACCACTGAGCTAAGTCCCCGGCCCTGGCCCTCCACATTTTAACCTGATTCTGTGTCTCATTACTTTTCATCCTTGTCACCCCTTGGTCAAATCCGAGCTTGTAGGCTGGTTCCTACACTGAGATATATCCCCAGCTCTTTTTCTTCTTTATTTATTTTTTGGTACCGGGGATCAAACTCAGGACCTTGAGCTCGCGAGGCAGGTGCAGTGCCACTGAGCTAAATCTCCAGCCTTGTTTGTTTGTTTTGAGACAGGGTCCTACTATATAGTTCAGGCTGCCTTTGAACTCACAGTGTAGCCCAGATGGCCTTGAAGTCACAGAGATCCTCCTGTCTCAGCCTTCTGAGTGCTGGGATTACAGGTATGCACCACCACACCTGGCTCATATTGTGTTTGTCAAGAGACTTATGTATAAAATTCTCCTCAATAGGGCCAGGGATTTAGCTCAGTGGTTCTGCCACCTTTCTTGAAAGCACAAGGTCCTGAGTTTGATCCCTGATACCCCCCCAAAAAAAAAATTCTCATGAACAGATTAAGGGAAAATTAACACAGGATCATCTCATTAGTTATAGAAAATCATTTAATACAATTCAATCTCATGGCTTTTAGGAAACTGGAAATACATGGGAACTTCCTTGACTTGATAAATATCATATACCAATATCCTATTGTAAACACGCTTTTAGACATACTTCCATTCATCAGAAACAAAGCTAGAATGTCTGTAATTGATGCTATTATTTAATATGATATTCATAATCCTTGCCCAGGAGTTGGCAACCTGGTCTTTTGTATGTTAGAAAGTGAGTAGGTCATGTGGTCTGTCTCAATCATCCAACTTTACTGTTGTAGCATGAAAGCAACCATAGGTGATACATAAGTGAATATGATTGTGTTCCAATGAAAGTTCCTTTACAAGTACAGGGAGTGGGCAGTGTTTACCCTGAAAGCCATAGTTTGCCAGTCCCTGTACTGAGCAGTGCAACAACTTAGGGAAAGTAAATGAAGAATGAGAATCATAGGGAATTCAAGAGAAACCAGGGAGTCACAGTTGTAAACACAGGGGAAAAAAAAAGATTCCTAAGGGGCTGAAGATGCAGCTCAGTGGTGCCACAAGGCCTGGGTAACAATCGAGAGAGAGGGGACGGGGGAGAGATTGTTGCATAAAAGATCAACCTAAAATAGAAGAAAGTATACTATACCATGATTACTATATATAAAAGATCAATGTTGCATTAGCATAATATGTTAATCTCAGAAAAAATAAACTATTTGGAAACAAATATAACAAAGGAAGTACAAGGCTCTCAGGAAAAAATTATCAAATTTCCTTAATAAAACCAAATTAAAAAAAAAACAAAAAAACCAAATAAAGAACGCTTCCCTTTTTCATTGGCTAGTAGCTCCATCTTTCTAGAGGTGTAGACAAAAACTTTGGAGTTATCCTTACTCCTTTCTCAAGTCCAGCAATCAATTTTCAGAAAATCCTCTTGGTTCCATCTAAAATGTGTTCAGCATGGAACCACTTCTCACCGCCTCTGTGGCTAGCACTCTGGTCTAAACTGCCATCTCTGTCCATGGGGTTCCTGTGGTGGCTGCATCCTAGTTGATTCTGCTTCTGCCTTCCTTCCTTCTAATGTAGTCTGCACTCAGCAGGCAGAGTGCTCCTTATATGGTTTCAGCCAGCTTAACACAAAGCCCTGCAATTCGTCCACATCACCTTGTTGACAATGTTCAGTGTCTTTCTCTTGAACCTCAGTATGTGAGCTCCATGAAAGTAGCACTCTTGGTCTGTTTACTAATATAGCTCAAGCACTTTGAGCAGTACAATTAATAAGGAAAGAATATACACAAAATTATGGACACGCTGATACAGGGGGAATAGATGCACCTCCCATCATGCTAGGTGTCAGATACACTGAGTTCGTGTTCCCTGAAGTCGAAGAATGAATTCTAAGGAACAATGCAGGTTAAGAGTAGGACGATTTACTGGGGAATAGGAGTGGGGAAT